AATATTGTATAAACACGGACTGTTCTTCTCCCAGTGTTCTTTTCATAGCGAGACAAAGGTTAGTACTTTTAGAGAATCCTCTACTCCGTGTGAGAGAGATTCCTTTTTTAAGATATTCCAGATCTCGCTATCGAGATAATATTATAATAACCGAAGTGTTGTTGTCTCAATGATACAAAATTTTGTAATTTTAGTGAATGCCCTTCTCCGTGTGAAAGGGATTCCTTTATAAATGACATTCTCGGTCTCGTTATCGTAGAAGTAGATTTCACAAAAGAATTTCAAGTGATAAATCTAAAAATTTTAGACTCTCAAAAAAAACGATGTATTTCAACAGGAAAACTCCTCCAGACATTATATTTATAAGGCTGTACGTTCAAAAAGCAGGACAGTCGCTATTTAAGTGTCACTATCTCATAACAGATCGAACACAAGCTCAGCAACTAGGAAGAGGAAAATAACCAAATCTAGCGATTTGTGCAGTTTGTTGGGGGAAGGGCAATCCAAAAAGACTACAGAACATTCGACTCTTCGATGATGATACATTCTTCTTCGGGAGACGAATTCTGTCTTAGCCAATGATTTGGCTTCAGCACAGAACAAGGTCCAACTTTTATATTTGCTAAGCGGCGAAATCTACTTGAGAAAATATTTTAACTCCCTAATTTACCAAGAAGCCATGGCATGTCGCCTATCCTCTCCTGTGTCATAATTGTTAAGATGAAGTCCAGCATATATATTTTTTCGAAATCAAACTCTTAAAAAAAAATATCTGGGTTATAAAATTTAACAATAGTCGTCGTAGACTCAATATTCTTTTAAAGGAAGAGAAAAATATTCATAAATATATCATGGAACAAATATGGACGGTTGTTATAGATACCGGACGCATAGTCCTAATGTGGTTGACGGTATCTTGTACAAAAGGCATCAACTATTTTTCCCTCTGAAGGAATTTTTAGGACTTTTCAAAAATTCAGTTATATTATATGTATTCATGTTTTTTTTATTTTCTCTAAAACGGGAAGAAAATTTTGGAAAAGTATAAACGGGATTAACCATTTTAGAACAAGCAAAAATTGTTGTGAAGAATATATTTTTCTAAAAATGTCAATAATAAAAAAGTTTTTCCTCTTGTAATGACAACCCAGGGACATACTGTAGTTTCCCACATTTTTTTCTATGTTTATTTTTTTATTCTAATAATCAAATGATTTTCCTCAACATTAACATGGCAGCAATCTTAATTTCTAAGCTAACACATATCACATTTCTGTATGCAAACAATAGATGTAGAAAAATTGTTAAAAAAAAATATTTCGTCAAAACTAATAATAAAAAATTATTTAGCATAAGTACAAACAATAAAATACAAAAAAGAAATATCAAATGAAGTAAGTTATTATACATCGTCTTTCAGAAAGAAGAACAAATTTTTTCTCCTAAAAATACTTAATTGATGAACATTTTTTGTGTCGTCAGGCAGAAGGCATTATACAGTTGTACACATTCAAAAAACCATGACTTTTGGAGTTGTGTTGATTTAATTTGCGGTACAAAGTAAAGGTGGCGAGGACGGCATAGTGATTGAGGCTGTAAAACTCGGAGGAGGAACACTATTAAAATGGATTAAAGACTTATTTAATCTATGCCTTGAAAAAGGAATAATCCCGTCTCAATGGAACAACGCCATAACGATACTTCTCCATAAAAAGGGCGATATCACCGAGCTTGAAAATTATAGACCGATAAGCCTTCTTTGTCACTTGTATAAGCTGTTACCAAAATCATTGCCAAACGTCTCGAACGTAAACTAGATTTCTATCAACCAAGAGAACAGGCAGGCTTTAGGAAAGGTTATGAAACAAACGATCATCTTCAAGTAATTAAAGTCCTGATAGAAAAATCTGTGGAATACAACAGGCCCCTAGCATTGGGGTTCGTTGATTTCTAGAAAGCATTTGACACAGTAGAATTAACATCAATAATAGCAGCATTGGAGCAGGGAAGAGTAGATTATAGGTATACAAGGCTTATAGAATACATATATAGTAATGCCACCAACTGTAAAACTTCACGAAACAACAGATAAAATTGAGGTAGGCAGAGGAGTTCGACAAGGGGATACTATTTCGCCTAAAGTTTTTACAGCTGTCCTTGAATACGCAATGAAATCACTCTCTTGGGAGAATAGGGGCATAAATATCGATGGTGAAAGGTTGACACATCTATTCGCAGATAACATCGTCCTTGTCTCACATAACATCGGAGATTCAAAGCAGATGCTCGAAGAATTAGTGCAGGCCTTATTAAAAGTCGGTCTCCGGATAAATACGAGTAAAACGCAAATAATGACAAACTTAGTGCTCACACAGAACATCAGAATAGGTGACGCAGACATAAAAGAAACACATATATACAAATATCTCGGGCACGAAATACAAATCGGAAAAAACAACCAAACACACGAGATACAGCGCAGAATAGGTTTGGGTTGGGCTGCTTTTGGCAAACTGCGGGAGACCTTTAAAAGTGATATACCCATATGCTTGAAGAGGAAAGTTTATGAACAATGCGTCTTGCCGGTAATTACATATGGAGCGGAAACTCTAACATTAACGAAAAAGTCAGCAGAAAATTTAAGAGTAGCCCAGAGAGCCATGCTTGGAATAACTAAAAGAGACAAAATTCCTAATAACACTATCAGACAAAAAACCAAAATTAAAGACATAGTGGAACACGTAACTCGAATGAAATGGAGATGGGCAGGTCATGTGGCGAGAACATCTAAAGATAGGTGGACTAGAAGATTGTTAGAATGGCGACCTCGAGCAGATAAACGTAGCAGAGGCAGACCACCGACACGCTGGACCGATGATGTAAAGAGGATTGCTGGAAATTGGATGATGACGGCCCAAAATCGAGAGACATGGAGAAATATGGAGGAGGCCTACGTTCAGCAGTGGACAACGATGGCTACATGATAATGATGATGATGACAAAGTAAAGACTTTTTGATCGCATATTGTGATCAAAAATGTTGGCTCTTCTCGCTAAGATATCTGTATAAGTAAGATCTGTGTGTTCAATTTTGTAAAGTAAGACTGGTTGTTTGAGCTTTCCTTGTCACTTGTTTTAAGTTTATATCCTTCATAATATCCTATTAATATTTAATTGATATGCAGCTGATTATTGGTCATCCTTTCGGAACCAATCTTGTGACTACTTCTGCAGTGCCGTCGAAGGGTTCTGGAATTTATAAATGGCATTGAGGAGCCTTGTTTAATCATTTTATCTGCCTTTTTGTGATTATGCACAATGTGTGTAATAAACTTTACTTTCTTATTATTTAAAATTTTACTTCTTCTTTCTTCTGCTTAGTATTGTTTGTTTTGATTAAGTTCTTAACCGAGGATAATCGTAAAAAATTCTATTTACGGTGCTACTAATTATGAATTCGAGGAGGTGTGCAATTATTACTTCTCTTCTGCTTAGCTCGAATCGTTGACCCTGTATCTGATATTGCAGACGAGAACTGAATTAATAATAATAAACATATATCAAAGAAAAATGTCGGTGATTTAACCTGTCTTATACAAGGTGATATGCTAATGTCGAGCCAACTTCTAATGATAAATCTATATAAAAGGATATAGAGCAAGAGTTTCAAGAATCCCAAATTATTGTATCTAATACAAAGCTAATAATACGACGAAATTAGACTAATCTAATAAGTTATATATAATCCAATTATGGTGTAGCCTCCCTCACCTACTCTCTTTGTAGTTGGGCCCATTTTTGTCTATTGTTGGCTATGCGGATCCAAGTTCTCCCAGCTAATTTCCTAATATCATAGTCCCATCTCAAGTTTGGTCTTCTTCTAGGTCTCTTAATTCCTCGTGGGTACTATGCTGTATTTTTTGTTATCCATCTGTTGTCCGTTCTTCTTGCCAGGTATACTGCCCATTATTCCCATTTGAAGGATTAGACTCTGAGGATGGCATCTATTACCTGGGTCTTTTGTTGTATCCACTCTATTCTTTTATTACTAGAAATAAGTATTTTAACTGGTAGTATAGTTCTACCCTAGAAACACCCCCACGAGGGCGAAAATTTTGCTAATTGAAAATGCTAAAAATTTTATGTTTTTCTTGACATTTTCCCCAAAATATTGAAAAACTTTTGAGAGCCGCTTGTTCAGTTTGCGGAAATTTGTTTCTGGTGCATACATACAATACAATGTTGCCACCTCCTACGTTATCCACATTCTGTATGTTTATAAATTATAAATTCAGATTATTAAATTTCGACAAAACAAACTTAAATACATTGTATTCATTGTAGATTACTATTAAGTATAGTGCAACGTCTACTATTTGAAATGTCTTTTTTACAGTTTAGTAAACTGAAATAATGAATCTCTAAATAATGAACAATTATAGCAGTTTTTTTCATTACTGTGGATAATTTCATAATCTACAATTTTAGTCTGAGCTATTTTTTTGAAAAAACTCACCGTTTACGAGAAAAATCCAAAAAACTGAAAAATGTTGACCTTTGATTTTGAATAACTTTTTTTGCATACGTGAGATCGCTGGGTATTTTTTTGTCTTCTTTATAATGATAATCCCAAGGTCTCTTACAAAATTCAGCTTTGTCAGAAGTATCCTAATTTGATCACTATTTTTATGGCTAAATTGGCCGGATTACTACCCTCTAACGAACCAACGAAGCACATTTGTATAAAGAAAATTTGTATCTATGGCTCAAAAAATACGTAGTAGTTTTATACCCTCGCAGTATTGGGACACCCTGTATATCAAACTGAATCATATTTTAAGCGGGAAAATCCCATCCTTCCTCTATCTACTATACCCGACTTCATTGATAAAAATCGGCAGGTTGTGCGTTCAAGAACGCGACTCAAGGTGGGGTCACTCGATGGCCTGCTGAGAGTGCTGGGGCACCTCTTCTGCTGCTGCTGCGGCACCCCACTAACAACCGGCTCCGGTATAAGAGCAATAAATCATTTTGGGGACCGGGTATTATGTAAGAGCTGGTCCGGAGTAGACCTAGTGATCTAGATTTTTTGCGAGGTGCATTGTTTATGTATATTGTTGACCTGGTGAAATAGTTTTTTCACTTTCAGCTTGGAAATATGAATAAAGCTATCTGTAAGTAACAAGTACTTAATAATAATGTCCACTTTATTTATATTTAATTTTATATACTGTCTTGTTTATTTTATTCTTCTGTTTATTCAATTTTTTTTTTAATTTTATTTAATTGACATATTTTTTAGTAATATAAAAGAGTAATTTGTTAACTGTATTTTATAAATTAAGAAATTAATATATTTCTTAATTTATTTTAATTTATTTAAAAAAAAATAATATGCCTTTTGTTAGCAATTAGAAAAAAAAACATATTTTCTCTTTACCGTTTTTCAAAGAGGTCCAAAATAACCGAGTTATTTAACTTTGAAAATTTACCAAAAAAAAATTTTTTTTATAAATTTTGAGAAACACTTTATCTTTCTTGGGTTTTCTTTCTTGTAAATTTAATTTACTACTTATGTTGCCATATTATCAGGAAATTATGGGTTTTAAGTAAAAACTAAAAAATGTTTCAAACATTTTTTCAAGAAATTCGAAATTTTCAATTTTTTTTTTCGCGAAAAAAACCTTATAATTCAATTTCTCGGGTCGATATACAGGGTCCGGCAATAGTGCGTCGGGCATCTGTAGCTCCTAGAATAAAAAACTTGAGAATTTTGTTTAAGTGCGAACCTAAAGTATGTGCCAGGATGTATTTCAAGAAAATATTTTAACTTCTATAGGGTGGCTCAAAAAAGTGTGAGTGGACCTTGATGATTTTTTTTAAATGGAATACCCTGTATATTATTGCATTTTTGGCTTCCTTGCAGATCATTTTACATAACCCTAAGATATGAATAAATATATTTTGATAGTTTCAGAGATATTAAAAATAAATAAAAATATGTATTTTTTTTCAGCCCTTCTTAAAAAATTATTAAAAATACAAGAACTGTCCTGAAATCAAAACTATATTAGGTATTTACTTTAGATGGTCTGTATTTACTTTGCTATAAATATGAAAATCGTAAATTATACAGAATGTTCAAAATTCTGCGCCAAACTTTCTAAAATATAAAATAATTTTTCCTCGTTTTTTTAAATGGAACACCCTGTATATTATTATTTCAATAGACGGAGACTTAAAAAATGAACATTTTTTGTATTTAAAGTATTTCAAAATTTTTAACGGTTTCGCAGATATTTGCGGTTTTATATTTCATATGGCATTTTCCACAGTAAATTTTTATCAAAGCCACCAATGATTTTTCTCTCGTATTTTACCATTGAAAGCGCCATATGAAATAATACTGCGCGTATCTGCGAAACCGTTCAAAACTTTGAAATACTCTAAATACAAAAAATGTTAATTTTTTAACTCTCCATCTAATAAAAAAATAATATACAGGGTGTTCCATTTAAAATAACAAAGAAAAATTATTTTATATTTTAGAAAGTTTGGCGTAGAATATTGAACATCCTGTATGATATACGATTACTATATTTATAAAAATGTAAGAACAGACTATCTAAAGTAAATACCTAATATAGTTTTGATTTCAGAACAGTTCTTGTATTTTTAATAATTTTTTTAAGAAGGGCTGCAAAATACATTTTTTTTATTTATTTATTAATATCTCTGAAACTATCGAAATATATTTATTCATACCTTAGGGTTATGTAAAGTGATCTGAAAGGAAGCCAAAAATGCAATTATATACAGGGTGTTCCATTTAAAAAAAATCATCCAGGTCCACTCACACTTTTTTGAGCCACCCTATAAAACTTAAAATATTTTCCTGAAATACATCCTGATACATACTTTAGGTTTGCACTTAAACAAAATTCTCAAGTTTTTTATTCTAAGAGCTACAGATGCCTGACGCACTATTGCCGGACCCTGTATACTACCCCTAGATGTATTTACACTTATTGAAGACTCAATTTATTGATATATGCTTGATAATATATATATACTTTACCCTCAAAATTTCATTCTAAAAGCTAAAAGTACTTGGAAGAAAATTATAATAAATCGAAAAAATATTAAAATGTTAACACCCTGTAGCTACGAAACAAAGCAGAATCGTACCTATGTTAATATGAAAAATAAATATTTTTACGTGAGGAATCTTCCCACGAGAGATGGCACATGTTTTTTGAAACACGCTGTATAAAACTTTAAAATACATGAAAGATTTAAGGTGCCCGTTTTTCGTGCCAGTGAGCAGGTTTTTAGATAATTTGTGCAAGTTGGTTTGCGCAAGCCAATTTATACAAAATTTGCTCAAATCTATCTTTTGTTTACACTTTCAGTTGATCCTATTTTTCTGACGAGTTTAAATAAAAACCTAAAAGACATTTGATAAACAACATTTAGACGCTAAATCTCAACCAAAACGTAAAAATTATATAAAGCCACTAAAATTATCCTAATTTTTTAAAAGCATATGACATCATCTCCGTTTCTATATGGGACTCCATGTATATTTTCTGGTTTTTGAAATACAACCATTTTTATACTAAATCATTTTCCAAACTTTTTCAAAATTATAAAACCCATATTTATTTTTTCCCACTTATTATTTTATGTGTTCCTAAATGAAATTATTTTTTACCCAACTTTATTCTATTTTAACAAATCAAAACCATAGCGTTTTCTGAACACTGGGTCACCCTGTAAATACAGGCTGGTTCGAACTGTATTCCGGAAAGTTTAGCAGCATAATCTGTAGGTAAAAATAAGTAAAAAATCGTATAAATGTATGCTCTTTTGGTATGCCCTAAAATGATTAGTTTCGGAGAGATACAGGATGTAGAAGTTTCGATTTTATTTCGATTTTTTCCATATAATTTCTGAAGTAACTTTAATATTTGGATGAAAATTGGTGTCTGGGAGTTTTTTGACATGAGAAATTGGATTTTGATGGCAATATGACTCTTAGACTGACTCCACTACTTGTAGATGGCGCCATCTACATATTTTTTAACTGGTTTAAAGAGTAATAACTTTTCGTCCGTACCTGTATAAAACTAGTGAGTTAAAAAATATACATTTACGACGTTTTTTTTTACGCAAAGAAGGTGATCTTGGTGAAAATCTCTGCGGGTAATGGTTCTCGAGATATTTGAAGTTGAAATTACCAATACCTGTCATCATTGACATAAATTAAACATGACTAAATAGTTATTAGACTGAAGTCGTCCAAACCAAACCAAAAAAAGCCAATTTGCGCATATTTTCTGATGCTAGTCTAAATGCCTCTTAAGAAGAATTTTTTACCTGTCATATTTAAATGTAAATATTAAAAAATAGAATTAATTGCTGCCATTTTCATATCTAATTTCCCTTTAGCGCACTTTTTTATTTGCACCAAACTGCATAAGTTTCCAGATGCATTTATTTAACTGGCTGTTACGTTTCATATGCTAATACAACCTATGTTTAATGCAACTAAATTCAATCCACTGTAATAAACCGCTGAAGCACAACAAAAGGTCTTTTTGTTTGAATAAATCGTTTGAAAATCAAACCGTTTAAAATAAAATAATAAAATTATATTCATTTACGATCAATTTATTTCTTAATTGATATAAGTAGTGTTTTAACTAGTGTTTTATTTTGCTAGTGGTTTAGTGTTAGGTATTTACGTATTTTTATTAATAATTTCAAATCATGTCAAATCTTCTTGTCATTTGTTCTGCTGATACCACAAGACGATAAATTTATCACTTCAAAATATTACAATTGGAGTAGCTGTTTAAACACCCTGTGTATAGCATACCCAAATATACACTCTGCTTAAAAGTATAGCTTAATTAGTGAAATTTAACTTGTGGATTAAACCATTTCATTTTTTTTTAATCACACTATACATATATCTTGACAAAAATTGAGTTTTTTTCACTTATTCCGATTTAAAATATTTTTTGGCGTTGCTGCGTTTTAGCAGGTTGATTAGTATACACAGAATTTAGAATTCTGTGTATACTAAATTCTAATTCTAGTATACACAGGTTGTCAAACAAGAACATACAGGATAAGAAAAAAAAATAAAAACCGATTTTTTTCATTTTCGGCAATTTTTTTAAAATACAACATAACCTAAAACTAGGGTCAAATTGCATTTACAATAATTCTTACATTAACGTCTTCTAACCGTACCAGGTAAGAAAAATGAAAAAATTTAATAAATAAAAAAATTTTTATATCCATCAGAAATCGACAATCGAAATCTTTCAAATTAAATATATCGGAAACTGTGCATTTTCAAATCACAGTTTAAATGGGGCGAATATAGAGCTCCACTAGCTCTATCCGTAGAGGCCTCACTAGTCGTTTACCTTCTTACCATTTCCGAGAGGAAACATCTTATTTCTATTTACACCTTTATTTTTTTTCTGCTGGTATAATTTAATGTAGCGACCAAAATTTTCGAAGTAATGTCCACACTTAATTTCAACGTTAACACTCAAAAATTATTTAGAATCAGAAAAAAAGGCCCCCTACAAAAACTCACGGGATTTAATATTTGGACCAGACGAAATAGAGTGTTTTAATTTCATTAACAGTCAAAAAGATAATAATATAAAAGTAGTTAATAGTTAAATGTATCAAAAATCTAAATGATACTGGTTTAGATTTTAATACTTGACCTAGTCAAAGAAATAACACCAATTCAAATCTGCCCACGCGACGCCTTGACATATTATTGACATTGTAATAGTCAAACCTATGTCAAGTATTTGTTTAATATGACCGAGATTTACTTATAAATGCAACCTTTGAATTAAAATTTGCATTAAATAAATTAATCTTTGACACCATTTAAATAATACAATTTTTTACAATGCTATTTTATTGTTGGGATGAAGAGGAAAAATATTTAAAAATGATTTTTAATTAAATAATTTCAGTTGTTTTTACAATTTTATAGATATACAAATTTAAAGAAATATAGAAATATAGTTTTTACAATGCTATTTTTATTGTTGGGATGAAGAGGAAAAATATTTAAAACTGATTTTTAATTAAATAATTTCAGTTTTTTTTACAATTTTATAGATATACATATTTAAAGAAATATAGAAATACTATAGAGTGTAATTTCAATATACAGGGTGTTTCAAAACATATGCGAAAAACTTCAGGGGGTGATTCCTTGGTCAAAATAAAGGGTAGTTTACTTCATAAACGTTGGGTTAAAAGTCAACCATTAGGAAGATATTGCGGTACAAGATGGCGGAAAAATAATGTTTTTATTTTTTATCTTGAAAACGAAAAGAGATAGACTAATAAAATTTTATGGAAGCATTACTGTTATGAAAACACACTTTCTGGTAATTTTTTCACTTTTTTAAAATGAGTGGAAGGGGTTGAAATAAACTACCCCTATCATTCTTGTTAACGAAATTTAAAGAAAAATCTTATCAAACACATGCAAAAAAAATAATTTGGATAGTTTAGTTTATATAGAAACTTTTTTATCTCTTGTATTTTTTTGATAAAACTCACCGATTTGAAATTAAGAAATAAAATGTAAAGCATTGCATGTCAGGACAAAAAACATTTTCTGATAAAGAATCTAGTGGGCTGCTGTAATTTTTTTAGAAAAAAATCTAGTCGGCCGCTGTTACTTTTTAGGATGTTCCTAATATTATTTTATTTGACATTACTCTACTGCAATACGTTATTATCTAGATGATTATTATTATCGTTATTATCACTAGATTCTTAATCTAAAAATGTTTTTGTCCTGACATGTAATGCTTTACATTTTATTTTTTAATTTCCAATCGGTGAGTTTTATCAAAAAAATACAAGAGGTAAAAAAGTTTCTAAACAAACCAAACTATCCAAATTAAAGCATTTGCATGTGTTTGATAAGATTTTTCTTTAAATTTCGTTAACAAGAATGATAGGGGTAGTTTATTTCAAACCCTTCCACTTATTTTAAAAAAGTAAAAAAATTACCTGAAAGTGTGTTTTCATAACAGTAATGCTTCCATAAAATTTCATTAGTCTATCTCTTTTCGTTTTCAAGATAAAAAATAAAAACATTATTTTTCCGCCATCTTTGTACCGCGATATCTCCCTAATGGTTGACTTTTGACCCAACGTTTATAAAAGCAAACTACCCTTTATTTTGAACAAGGAATCAGCCCTAAAGTTTTTCGCATTTGTTTTGAAACACCCTGTATATTTTAGATTATTTATATAATAATTATTGGGGAATTAGATTAGATTAGATTTATTAAAAGTGCCTATTTGTCAATTATACGAGGGAAAACAAAATGTTGATATTTTAGTGAAAGTTTGAAGCACCCTGTAGAATATACAGGGTGGCCCATCGAGAACGTTCCGCAAGGCATAACGACCAGGGTAATTTTTTTTCAAAAAAAATTCAAAAACACTTCAATTTTGTTTGTTAGGGGACAACTTTTGCCCCAAAAATGATTACAATATCTTTAACCCTTTAAGCGGGGATGTCATCCCCCAATTTTTCAAATGGGAAGGGAGTCAAGTGGTATCGCAATGAAAAGGGCTTTCTATTCTCTATACTTCCCCGCTTCGTTTTTGAAAATCGGTCGAGTCATTGAGGAAATATGAAGGATTGAGATTTGAAAGGTTTATTTAAACATTTATCAGAGTAAATGATAAGGATAAATTCCTTCGACCAATTTGCTGTTTTTCTTATTATTTCTAGATGTTTACGCATTTTTCACTTGCCACAAGGTTGAACGATCAGGTGCTGTAGTTGCTAGATAGTTGTTCTGTGACTTAGGGTAAAAACATAGTAGAGCGACGAGGCTAGAGGCACAGCGACGAGGTAAGCGTCGCGACTTGAATTTGATCGTGTATTGTAATGGAGGCAAACATAGTAAAGAGATTGCCGAAGCGTCAAGCGACGAGACAAGCGAGGAGATGCGCGTCAAGATAAAAATATGATTCCTTGTCGCGTTGACGCTGGAATGCGTGTGGCCTATTTTCAGTTGACTGGTATCATTAAGTAGGAGTACTGCTGGTATAGAGACAACATTTATCGTTCGTAATGGCTATGAATAATATAATAGCATCCGTATTCAACAGGCGTGCTTTATGGAATGCATCTCATCCAGACCAAAGAAACCGCTATGCATTAGACGAACTTTGGGCAGAAGTGGCTACAGAATGTGGAATAACAGGTAACACTGTCGGAGAACATTGTACATACTGGTTTGAATTTGGAAATTCGAGCAATAAATCGCAGCTTTTGTCTCCTTACTATGTACGTGTCTCCTATCGCGTCGCTTATCTTGTCTCTTACCTCGTCGCGTCGCTGTGCCTCTAGCCTCGTCGCTCCACTATGTTTTTACCCTTATGCGTTGAAGTTCTTCTCAATATCGTTAAACTTTTTAACAATTATGGTGTACTCACTTGCAGAAAAAGTGGAAATAATCGAACTTTATTTTAAAAATAATGAATGTGGCAATCGGGTTGCGCAGATATTCAATGAACGCCATCCTGACAAAGACCTTTATGGCAAAATTGTTCGCGAGTTAGTAGCAAAATTTTGCGACACTGGTTCCGTTATGAATAAAAAGAGGCAGAGGGAAAATCCTGTAGTAAATGAAGCTATGGAGGTATTCGTATTGGGTCAAGTTGCCATGGATAGTTCGCTGAGTACAAGAAAATTAGTCAATGAGACCAGCGTGAATCGTACAAGTGTCCAAAGGATATTAAAAAAACACAAGTTCCACCCGTACAAAATTCAGTTGGTACAAGAACTCAACGAAGACGATTTTGATCGTCGCTTGCAATTTTGGGAAACTATGAGTAAACGAGTGGCGAATGAAAATAATTTCCTATTTAATGGGTGTTTTTCGGATGAGTGTACTTTCTTTTTGAACGGTGTAGTTAATCGGCACAACTGTCGGTACTGGGCTGAGGACAACCCCAGGGTTTTTCACGAGGTGCACACACAAAACCCTCAGAAATTGAACGTGTGGGCTGGTATTTTTGGAAATTCTATTGTAGGTCAGTTTAACGATATTGAGAAGAACTTCAACGCACAAGTCACAGAACAGCTATCTTGCTATAAGTCTGTTGACAGACCAAAAGCAAAGACATGGTTTTGATGTAAAAATTACGAAAAAATGTTAGCGTCTTCTTCAAAAGTTCTCAAAAAAAATAAAACTATTGAGATGAACCAAAAAATAGGCTATCGAGAAAAAGTTCACCTGGATGATGAAATCATTTTCAGTCTTGCTTTTTTACATATTCCACAGGGTGTTCCAAACTTTCACCAAAATAACAATAATTTATGTTCTCTAGTATAATTGACAGATGGGAACAGTCATTTTTAATTTAGAAAGAGATACTAAAAAGTAAAATATTTTAGCTACAAATTCCTTAAAAGATTATCAAAATCGGTTCACTATAATACAATATCTAAAACTTTAAAATACCTCAAAATATTAAGGTGCCCGTTTTTCGTGCCGGTGAGTGTGTAAGTATATTAGAGGATATTAGGATGCACAAAAAAAGTAAATATTTAAAAAATATAAATTCGTATGAGAGACGCCATCCTGTATATACTCAATTTTCTTTGCAAATTATCTGAATATGTGTATTTCGCTCGTTCTCATTCATTAGGCTACGCAAACACTCCATTCCGCCCATTAAAGAAACTCAAATACAAGCCTCCCTGAATAACAATAGAGTTAATGTTTAATTATTTGCAATAGCATTTCTTTAGAAAGACATTATTTGTACCGTAATAGTACTGTTTCCATTATATAACAATTCGTTAATGAGATAGTAATAATGTTAGTCAATAATTAGATCCATCGAACCGCAGAGTCTTGCACTTTGAAGTTGTTGCAACGTCCGTTGGAAAATTCAGTACAAACGACTGCAATTAATGGGTTACGGGGTCTTTTGTGACTTGAAATACTTTTCATTTTATAATATCATTAATAAAAACCGTAAAATCAAAAATAGCGGCCTTACAATGACCAATGAAATGACGATCAATGATATTTTTGTCGCATTTGATTGGAATGATATTCTTACAAATATAAATCACATCGCAGAATAAATATATTTTTTCTATAAGTTTTATATAATTTATTAATATCTAAATATTGTTAGAACCGTAGAGTTAAAAATTGTTAGAACTTTTTTTATTCTTTAGCATATCATTTCCTTATTCCAAAATTTCGACATTACATGTGAATCAAATCTGGCAAATATGGTGGATCTGTGAAAATTGTTAAAATTTTGTCTTGTCAATGACGCAGATGTGGAATATTTTAATAAATTTTCCTTGTCATTTTTAAATTTATTCTAATTTATTTTTTATTCTTTTTCAGTTGTAATTTTGGTGGCATTTGGTGCGGGGACATATGCCGACAAGGACGACAAGAGATGGGTTTGGAGTGGAAACGGTAGATCCAATGAAAACGCTCGAAATTATAATGGAGGAGGAGTAACAGTAGTCAGACCGTAAGCATATAGAGAAAAATAATTTGTTTAATATGCTTTTTAAAGTTATTACATTATAAGTAAAAGTTACCAGGACTCAAATTATGTCGTTAAAGCTGCTACCGTCACTTTGAGTATTTTTAATTTAGATTCAGAAGTCATATAGAGGTTTTATTGCTTCTTTTTCGTTGTTATTTTTACAGACAAACTAAATACAATACCGCTAATCATCATCTTCATCATCAATCTCAGCTTATTCAACCATTTCCAATTATGGTGTAGCCTCCCTCACATGTTTAGATACTCTCTTTGTAGTTGGACCCATTGTCCATTGGTGTCTATTGTTGGCTACGCAAGCCCAAGTTATACCTACTAATTTCCTAATATCATGATCCCATCTCAGGTTTGGTCTTCCTCTAGGTCTCTTAATTCCTCGTGGATGCCATGCTGTAATTTTTGTGGTCCATCTGTTGTCCGTCCGTCTTGCCAGGTGTCCTGCGATTTGAGGGATTTGACTCTGTGGATCACATCTATTACCTGGGTCTTTTGTCGTATCCACTCTATTCTTTTACGGTCTTTCATAGTTATTCCCAGGATATTTCGTTCAATTGAGCGTTGTGCGACCTGCAGTTTTCTTATAATTTCCGTTTTAAGAGACCAAGTTTTGCATGCACATGTCATGACTGGTAGTAGATATTGGTCCAATGTTTTCTTCTTTAGATAAAGTGGTATTCTAGATTTCAATATGATTAAGTTTCTTCTATACGTATTCCATGCGAACTTAATTCTTATACAGCTAATAATCCAGACAAAATAGATATTCCAGTTTGCATTAATGCCCAACAAAGCTGTATTTTTGCCATTCATTCCTCGGTATCAAGTTGGACCTATACAAAAATTCCGATTGTTGGGAATTCATGCAACCTCAGCACTTTTTTCGTTTATTTTGTCTGGACTATAAATACAATGTGTATGAACACAAGTTTTACTATTTTTTATTCATTTCTTTTTGGCAGACAAACTAAATACAACGTATATGAAGACAATGACTACCGCCCTAATGCGCCCATAAATGGGGATTATTTCACCCCAAACGTCATCAACCAGGGATCGCTGGTACTTAACGAAAGGCCGCCTCTTTATGAAAACAGACCACCCGTTTCTGGAGTTGGTTTTCTTCCAGAAAATAGGTACATACAAATAAAATAAAATATGACATGTAAAAAAACGGCGTCAGCGATGACTATTGAAATGATGGTCGCTGTCATTTTATATGTAAAATTATATGAAGAATGTCATCAATGTCGCCAACACCAACTCGGCTTTGGTTTGGTTTAAAAATCATATAAATATTTTGTTACAAAGTTTCAATCTAAATACGCATTTCTATAATTTCTAAACCAATTACTAATGTTTAGACCTGGTGGAGTATATAATAACATAAATCGTCCATCGTATGGAGGATCAGGTCCGTACATTCCCGAAGGAGATGAAAGCCCCGGAATTCTAACTGGTCCAGTACCATCATGGGTGAAAGAGGGACCCTTCAAAGAGTTCGACAAGTGCAAGTGCACCGAGAAATTCAACTGTAACAGTCCAGGAATATCTTACGTAAGTTGACAGACAAACCAATGCATGACTTCGAATTAAAATAAAGAAAAAATACAAATTTTACCATATTTTAAACATTCTTAATTGATATACTAAATTTACCTTAAATTATTTTTATTCGTTCCACTCACTCGTTCCTCTCACTACTTCATCTAAATAATTGCAAAATGTCATAAACTAACGTCATAATTTACACTAAAGGCCGAACAGAAACAACAATTCTGCAAGTGTCAGATCGAAAGAACAAGTTAACCAAAAGCATAGATATCTATGACCAAAAGATCCTAAGTTTTCATAATAAAACTTGTGGTCAGTCTCACAAAAAAATCTAAAGTTCAGACTCTTTCAGAATATATCCAAGCAAATTATCTGAATTATCTGATGTTCCATGATCATTGACAGTATTATGAAGGTTCAAAAAACTTCTACTACCAGAGACATTCTCAATACGTTCTGAAAAACGGAAGAAAACGTTATTTCAAAAATAACGGAAGAACGTGTGTCATCAGATCCAAAATTATTACAAAGATATTTAAATGCTTGTGATAATTTAATACAAGCTTTTCAAGATATAACAAATCCCAAATCCCAATGCACAAATAGACATGCCTCACAGACACAGTTTTGGGAAAATTAACTGGTAGAGCAGCTGATCTTATTGTATCCCCTCTGAACTAAAAACATGAACTGATATTAAAAATACATTCAATAGAAATTGCATTCATAAAAAGAGATCAATGGATTGCTTAATTCAAGATTAATTAATTTAAAACCATTTAAAAATGAAATTCCTTTAAATTTTGAAATGCGTATCCAAGACTCACGCAGTTTATTATTTTCAAAATTAAATGCAACAAACGAACTTGCAACTGAAAAATTAATGAAAATAAGACATCATGAAGAATTTTCTTTAAAAACTTTCATTAATGGATTACCTTACAATCTACAACTAATTGTAAGATTAAAAAATCCAGATTTAATAGAAAAAGCCATGTCTTTCGTTCGAGAAGAAGAAAATTTCATATATTTCAAAAATCATCCACAGTATAGTCAATTTACTACAAATAATTACCGAAATTATCTTAATTATACAGTGATCTACCCATTCATGCCAAAACAAAATAATTTTAACCAATCATTTAATCGAAAGAACAGGTTAACCAAAAGATCCAAAGTTTCATAATAAAACTTGTGGTCACTCTCACAAAAAAAATTAGAGATCAAACTCTTTCAGAATATATCCAAGCAAATTAAGTTCACTCACAGTATTTGAAGGTTCAAAAAACTTCTACTACCAGAAACATTCTCAATAAGTCCTGAAAAAAAAAATATTTGAAGAATGTGTATCATCATATCTAAAAACAATATGATACTACTTTCACAGTTCTAGTATCGTATGAATATGAATGATGGTTTATATACTTATATATATATTTATATAAAACTCTAAAACAATTAAATTATAAACATATATGTAAATTTGACTATAAAATTTAAATCTGTTTTAGGGCCATTGCGATACAGGCAAATCGTATTGCTGTTACTCCACCAAAAAGCTCCAAGGAGGACCTCTTCCTAGCAAACCAGTGCATTCAATAGAAAACGGGATTCTTGTTGGACCTGGTGGACCAGTAGATCCCATCCCGGGAGTTGCTAGTTTTAATAAACCACCTAAACAATTTGGAGGAGCTGGATATTACAGACCTGGAGGATTCCAAGGACAATACAACAATCATGGAAGTAACTATGCTGGTATTCGTGGAGGTAATTTAGATTGAAAAATACTTTTTTAAAACTTTGAAAGTATTTTCGGCTAACTATGCCTTAACAGATGAGTAAAACTCAAAAAGTTTAATGGAATGTTTTAATCGTCATATTTTAAAAATGTATTTTGGTGTATAGTTGCTGATTTGTGTTATTGTTATTACCCCTTAAAAAAATCAGAAATATTTTAATTTAATATTTGTTTTTCAGAACCAAACGAATATTCTCCAGCTAATGGTATTCTTGTGGGACCTGGTGGACCCTATGACCGGCCAGGAGCAGGATTTTTAGAAGCGCGTTCAGGAATAGCGAGTAAAAAAGCCTAGATATAGTTTTAAAATAGCTACTCTAAAGAAAGGGACCACCATTGTCTAATACGGTTTTTATAGTTCTATTACAAGTGTATAAGATGTATAGAGATTAATTCCTAAAAGAACAAGCAATATTGAAGTTACTTCTAAATAAGATCCAAAGTTTATCTGTTGTATAAAGCTATTGATTTTGAAGTGTATTTAACTTTTTTCATCTTTTAAGTTATTCTTCTTCGACTTATTTTTTAAGACTGCCATAGTTTGTAAGTAAGATAGAGAAATCATATGAGACGTCAAGTTGCAAAACCCGCCTTACCAATTTAAAAAAAATGGCTTAATGAGATACATTAATAGTGGACCCTAAAATCTACATAAACATAGTCCAAACTGCAGCAAAACTCGCCTATTGCTATATAAAATTCACTACAAATTACGTTACTGCAGCAAAATCAATCTCATCCACTTATATTTGCTTTTTATTGTAATTATTGTTGCAAATTCGGCATTTTTTCATAGGCTTTTTACACAAGTATAATATTACTACAATTTTAATAAAATACCTAATAATTCCAAGTTACGATGCAAATATCTTTCTTTAGCAAAACCTGCAAAACAAAACGCATACAAAATATGTGTCCATTAAGTGGAATCATTGTTTTATATCTCGTTTTTCTAGAAATAAAAATTAATATTTAATTTTTATAAAGGAAACACAAAAATAATTTGGATAAAACACCTTATCCGAATTATTTTTTGTGTTTTTTCTCTTTAAAAATGAACAATTAATTTTTATTTCTACAAAAACCAGATGCAAAACAATGATTCCATTTAATGGACAAGTTTTTTCTAATGCTTTAAACATTTGCTTGTTTTTGGGATAAGCCCGGTTTAGCAACTTGACACGTCATATTATATTGATAGAAGTTTGATTAGTATGTATTACTTAGTGTTATTTAGATTTAGTTGTTATTTTTAATTATAATTCTACTTATAGATTGATACAATATTGTACAGAGTAACGTTTCCTTTGTTTCAATAAAATAATTTGTTGGTGACATAATAAAAAGTACCTTGGTTTGGTATAGTAAAAAAAATCTGGATTTTATAAAACTACCGATTCTTTGCCAGTGTTATCTATAGTCAATCCATATATTTTACATCAATTTGTTTATAACCAACAAATACTACAAAAAAATATTTCAGTTCAAGATTTTCGTTAATAAACTATTGCAATCCAAATATAGAGAGAAATTCAGTTAAAATAAACTATAAAAGATAATTGAGGAACAAGTAAAAAGTGTATCAAAATGAAAAGCAGCTAAGCTCGGCGTAACGGCGTAACGACCTTGAGTAGATTTCCAGTAATTTTATTGGCTGAAAAATTCATCTGTCAAAAATTTTATCTGTCAAATTCATCTGTCAAAAATTTCAGCCAATAGAATTACTGGAAATCGATTCAAAGTCGTTACGCCGTTACGCCGATACGCCATTTTTAGGATAGTGTGGATGCACCCTCAGGGAATATTTCGACAGACGACACCCAAAAAATGACCGGAAATTAGATTTACTTCCGAATTAAAATGACCATAAATCTCACTGTAATATAAGTATCCTGTCGTGGGACAGCATTTAGTACAAATAATGGCATAAATCACAGAACAAACTAGGTAAAGAATAAAGTCTTCCTACTCTGGGTGCTAGCTAGAAGGATTTGAAAATGCAAACGATCTAGCTAGAAAAGGAGCCAAACCTTGGACCAGAACGGTTCTTCTTCGCAAGTAGAGGTGGGAATTCTACTCTGGGAATTCTATTCTGACGCACTTGACGGCTTTATAAAATATAGGAATTTTATAAGGACTACCCAACGCTATCCACCCCACGAAATAACCAACTTAACCAACGCAACTAACCTCGACACTGATAAAAAATATAAAAAACAAATATAAATTAGTAAAAATCAACCAACCCCACCAAATAACCAACTAACCAATGAATTAACACCCTCCAAATAACCACGCTAACCAACCCGCCAAATAACTAAACCAATCCAACCAAAAAGAGTGAAACCAATGCAATAAGATCACGCTATAAGCAAAAAAAATATAAAAAAGCTTGGTCGGCGTGAGATTTGAACCACGGACCATTCGCTTACGAAGCGATAGCCTCAGCCACTGACCCACAGGTGCTCTTGCAAAATGCTTAAGGGTAGGCAATAGTAGGCATTACTTTCCGCCGACATGAACGACGTCACAATATCTATTAACGGCATTTTAGTAGGCTACCGTTTAACGGCTGTTTAAAGTACATCGTATTATATATCGGTCACAGTCTCGATCCCGGAATAGGTCCTGAGAAACTAGTTCTTTGAGAAACCCGGAACTAGCTACCTTTAATTCCGGGGTGGGAATAGTTCTTTGGAACTAGTTCGTTCACGAACTATACACCTCTATTCCCAAGTGGAACTCAAGAACCTGAAAGACTCCATAACTAACCTCTGTAAGATCGTGTCAGATACTGGCTTTACCCAAAGCCCAGAGATTGTATGATGACTAAACATAAAGTAAAAATAAGTAAAAGAGTAAACAAAAAAGGGGGACACAATATATCTATAAGGTCGTGGTGATTATCTTTGCCCCTCCCATATAATCTACAAGTTACTTATTGAATTTAAAATTCAAAATTACATGAGTTTTACTTTACCTATAGTGGTAATAACAACGATAGAGTAAAACAGTGCTCCAGCCCTAGTCCACTGCACCTTATTGGCATCTTCTTCGCCATCCCAGCCATCTTTAGCCATTGCTTTGAGAAGAGAGTTCTCGAATTCTTTTAAATACTGAACGGCAACTGGAGTGAAATTTTCCTCGCGCAACGTAGCCATGTCATGTGTGAAGTTCCAAAGGTACAGGGTGGTATTGTCCCTGATATTGCGTATATTCTTCTTAACCTTTAACAAGAAAACATTTTTATAAAGAATGCGTTTTTTCAAAAAAGAGTTTCCTCTTGTAAAGAGAATTTTGGGAGACACGCGATTTACCATGTTTTGTATTTTAATGTTATGTTTTTATTATATATATTAATAAACAAAAAATTAAGCTTCATTCAAAATGTCAAAATTAGTGGTAATAATTTTCACTTAAGCTTCAGTCAGAACCTCACAATTAGTGGTTTCAATTAGCGTAGAAGTTTCTTCCTCTAATTTAAACATAAGCATTCAGAACGTTAAAATTAGTGGTAGGAATTTTCAATTGGGGGAAAATGTTAACAAACTTTTAACTTATCCACTAATTATCTTCAAAATTTGCGAGGAATGTCATTTTCGCCTATGATTATCATCCGTCAAGAGAAAATGTCGTTAGTAATAAATAGTTTACTGTTTTATAAGCTAATTATTAGGTTTTCCCAAAGAATACAACTTTACTGACTACGCAAGCTGTTGCTAGGATATTCTATTAATTTAGTTGTATTTTTTAGATACTGTGGATGATCGTAAACTTTTAAGTATAAAGTATAATAATTGAAACCACTAATTTATTCCACTAATTTCGAGGTTCTTTACTTTAGAAGAAACTCAACAATATACAGGGTGAGTCTTAAATAAGTGCAAATATTTTCAGGACTGGTAGACCTCGATAAAAGAAACACATTTTCTCTTTACCGTTTTTCAAATAAGTCCAAAATAATCGAGTTATTTTACTTTGAAATTAAAAAAAATTGATTCTTTGTTTAAATTTTGAGAACCACTGGATCTTTTGTGGGTTTTCTTTCTTGTAAATTTAATTTACTACCTATGTTGCCGTATTATCAAGAAATTACGTTTATTAACTAAAAACTAAAAAAAATTCCAAAACATTTTTCAAAAAATTCTGGTTTAAAAAAAAATTACGAAAAAAACCTCATAATCGTGTTACTGGGGTCGAAATATACTATCCCCAAAAATATTTGCACTTATTTAAGACTCTCTTTAAAATGGGCAGAGAAATTTTGAAAGGTATAAACAGGATTAGCTGTTTTAGAACAAGCGAAAGCTTTCATGAAGTTTGAATTATTAACAATTTGTTGTTATTGTTATCAATATAATTTTTTTCCTCTTGTAAAGACGATCCTGGACACAATATATTTACCAAGTTTTGTATTTTGTAGTTAAAGTTATAAGTTTATTATGTTTTCATTATAATTAATAAACAAAAGTTAGTGTACCTGAACCTCATGTTCGACTTCCAAGGCCTCAAAGGTCACCGCACCTAAATAACAATAAGAAATCACCATGGAAATGAGAGTTACATGTGAAAACAAGCACGTTATAGTTTTCCAGCTGTAATGGAGAAAACGAGAACAAACCGTCGGTTTTTCCATATCCAGCGACTCCGGATCCGATCTATAAACCGACATTTTTATACTTAATTTTCTTGTTCAAAAAGTTTTTATCTATTTTCCGATTTTTTTTTCACATCGCGATCGACATTTCTTAGAATTGGGTTAGTGAGGTAGCGGTAGAAAGTTTTCAAACACTGTTTTAACACTAACTGACGCTTCTGGTGGGTATTTTTAACGTAAGTTCCCAGTTAAATCCGAAAAACTTAAAAATAGAACATCTCAAATCGCGTAAAGTTCTTCGATACGAGCCATTAAACTAGAAAGATTTATGGTTTGTATCCAGAGTGGAAATACATTAAATTGGTTTAAATTGGAATTGACCAATGGAGTATCTTGAATATTACGACCAGCTTTATTTATGTTGTTATTTTTATTAAATTTAAATAAGCACAAATCTACCAATTATTATTTTTTATTATATTAAAAAATATATATTTTTATTATTTTAAAAAACAGACAAGTGCGAGTCAAGTTGTGCGTCTCAAAAGTGGCTCACCTCTATAACTTTTTTTTAGATAAAAAAACGAGATTTGGAACGTTAGCATATGACATAAATTAGAATTAACTGACGTATTCAATTGTTTTCGGTCACTTCCTCTTTCACCGGAAATGACTACAACTTTTGATTTTTAAATGACACCCTTGGTATTTTTTACTTTATTCGATAGAAAATGACACTCTGAATTAAATGAAATATAACAGGTTAACTTTTGACATTTTCGCATATGGTAATTGGAAATTATAACATGTGGTTCATAACGACAATTTGACCCGAAATATCAAATGTGTGATACCAAATTATTCGTAAGAAAATGTTTTTTCCAAATATGCTAATGAGCCATCCTCGTTCTATTTGACAAAATTGAGATATGATTAAAAATACGATTTCGCCATCTTTTAACCGGCTAGGACAAGGTATTAAAAAACTAGACGATCAATTCTACTTTTCCAAGGCTTCTTGATTAAAAATTAGTGTTTTTAACACAGCCATGAAGTGTCTAGATTGAAATTTAAAATATAAATAAAAACTACGCTTTACCTATGAATTAAAATCAACTAACAGCCAACAACTGTCACTGTCAGGTATTCTCTCATCGGGCAGACTATATATAAAATAACTAACTTTCGTTGCACATCATAATACGACCACCAGCTTATTTACTTACTGCCATTACTCGCTGACGAGTATTTGACACGCATCAGAAAATGGTTACGCAAGGGCTTCCTGTGATGAGCTTTTCTGTGACTGAAAAGCCCGACACGTGATGATATTTGCCTACCGCACTGCGGACATCAAAAATCTCATTACGTTGTTGCCTCTTTACTTTTTGGTTGTTGTTATTAACTGAATTTACAATTCTTCTCCATTGCGTTCTATTGTACGCTGCTTCCTCCCACTTATGCTGCATACTTATCCTCTTTAAGTTTTCATGAAAAACATTCTTGTATCTTTTGAGTTGTCCACCCGGTTTCCTCTTACCCTCTACAAGTTCACCGTAAAGAAGAGATTTCGGTAGGCGGTTTTCTTGCATCCTGCATACGTGGCCAGCCCATCTTAAGCCGGGTCCATATATGTAGCATCTTCGTGTATCATATCTCCGTCGCGTTGCACCAACATGTTTCATGATCGCTAGTTTGGACGCCGAATTAACGCGATCATATGGTACACCTTTGTGATACCGTATCTGATACATGCCAATCCGAATTTTGGCGCGTATCTTAACACTGCGTATCGGATACACGTATTACGATCTGTCATTTGGACGTGTTTTGATACAGTATAACGATACAATTGACTTGATACGCCGTGACCCGTCTTGAGGCGGTTTTTCTCCGATCATCAAAGGGGCATTGAGGGTTCGCTGAGAAGAATTGATGAACATGATACGACGATACAAGGTGATTTGTTGTACCGTCCATATACAATGATACGCACGCTTGTACGCTGGTACGTATGAATTTTATAAGTATGGACGCTTACTTTGGCACGATATGCATATTCAGTCGACACAGCCCAAATAAACGTCCATACTTATGATACAAGGTCTTGATACGTGATACATGATCCTGATACAATAGAGTGCTACATATGTGGACCCGGCTTTAAGCGAGAGTTAGTAAACATGACTTCAGCGCTTTCGCAGCTTGCTTTTTCAAGGACTGATACGTTTGAGACATGGTGGTACCATTTGATTGTTAACAGTTGTCTAAAGCCGGGTCCACATATGTAGCACTCTATTGTATCAGGATCATGTATCACGTATCAAGAGCTTGTATCGTAAGTATGGACGTTTATTTGGGCTGTGTCGACTGAATATGCATATCGTGCCAAAGTAAGCGTCCATACTTATAAAATTCATACGTACCAGCGTACAAGCGTGCGTATCATTGTATATGGACGGTACAACAAATCACCTTGTATCGTCGTATCATGTTCATCAATTCTTCTCAGCGAACCCTCAATGCCCCTTTGATGATCGGAGAAAAACCGCCTCAAGACGGGTCACGGCGTATCAAGTCAATTGTATCGTTATACTGTATCAAAACACGTCCAAATGACAGATCGTGATACGTGTATCCGATACGCAGTGTTAAGATACGCGCCAAAATTCGGATTGGCATGTATCAGATACAGTATCACAAAGGTGTACCATATGATCGCGTTAATTCGGCGTCCAAACTAGCGATCATGATACATGTTCGTGCAACGCGACGGAGATATGATACACCAAGATGCTACATATGTGGACCCGGCCTTTAATGCGCACGTGTGCCGGCGCGGCGCGGCGGCGGCGGTACGGCATCGGCACCCAAGTTTCGCTTCCATATAACATGATATAGGGCAAATACGTTTAAATTACCTATACGGAGGGTACCGCTTAAATTCCTGTCCCGATGTTAAAGGATGGCTATAGAATTTCAATGCATTTCCTACATAAGTCTATCCTTGTGTGGTAGGAGGTTTGACTAAACAAGGATGAACCTGTCTTGAAACCATTCGACTCGATTTTTTGTCCTCCGTCAATACTGGGACATAAATTCTCTCATTGCTCTTATGGGGAGGCCGCGGTATAGGTAATTTAAACGTATTTGGTATAGGGATTATTACTGCTCGATACACTGCAAGTTTCGTTTTTATGCTCAGGTCATGATTGTAGAAAACCCTGTTTTTAATTTCCAGAATGCTCTTGAGGCGCTGCTAATGATGTGTTGAATTTCAAAGTCGATATTTGCCTTTTCCGAAATCAAACTTCCGAGGTAATTAAATTCCGCTACATATTCCAATAGTTCTTCTCCGATTTTTATAGCGCTGTTGTGATTTTCCGGGGGAGTGCATATGATTTTAGTTTTATCATGACCAACATGACAGATAGGCCAGAGACATCGATTTGTGACGTCACCGCACTAGTCCGGCTTTTGTATTGTGCCATATGGTTACTGCATATAGGTTTTGCATAAATAATAGTATTTATTGATAGTTTTGCCAGATATAAATATGAAAAATATTATACAGAAATGTATTAAAAAATAACATTAACTTTTTATCGCGTTAAAGTAATTGAATAGCATTAAAATTTAGATCTAAAGCACGAATATTAATATGAAATAAACTACAGCATAAGATGAACAAAATAAAATCTAGATAATAAAAAGCGTGTCCTAAAATTGCGTTAGCGAGTATTTAGCAACTAGTAATAATATACCTGTGATAAAAAGCTTCCAAATATTAAAAAATTTGAAAACTATATGTTTATCGACAAGTTAAGAAAATGTATTGTACATGATAACGGCAAAATACATTTTAAAGTTTAATTAAACAATTGGTTTGTTTACGACTACTAATTCTGGACCACTTCGGTAGAACTGTCAAAACAGTCAGGCCTTGAATATGGCGTTAGCCACGGTTTTATTGATGTTCAGTTTAAGGCCCAAAGTCTCGTATGCCCAGGTATATGTGTTCAGCATTTCCTGTAATTGCTGTAAATACAAGGCTGTAACGTATTTACAACTACAGCGCAGTCATCAGCGTATTGGAGTTCTGTGATGAGTTTTATACGTGTTTTTGCCCTAAGTCTTTTTATGTTAAACAGACCGCCGTCATACCTGTATCTAACACCCATTCCTCTTTCCTGCAGTTTGCTGTCCACTATAATAAAGAGCGCTGCCTTGAATATGTTGAATAAGAGAGGAGCTACTTCTACACACATCCCTGCCTAACTCCTGCATTTGTTAGGAATGGATCGCTCAGTGATCCATGATGTGACACCAGCAAACTCCATAAGACGACGCATGGTGTCATTGATGACGTGCAACAAAAGTTGTTCCAGTTTCCCTATTGTTCTATTGTAAGCCTTAATTTTAATAATATTTGCAAAAATAATCATAATCTCAACTTTAGGATATTATATGCCAATTCGTAGTTTTAAATTATCTTCAGTTCAGTTGATTAACAGCAGAATATGTGAAAACGATGCGCAAGAATTTAATGTAATATTTTCGTCAAACTTAGTAGAATTTATAACTGTTTATTATTGGAAAAAACTGATTATAAAAGTTATCGAGGACTAATGAAAGAAATAAATTGCTACATTTTGAAAGCCTATCTAATAATTATGGAATATTATAGAAAAGTATTTGGAAGCAAATATCTACCAAATAAAAGTGTAGTTTACGTGGTTTTTTGTCAGAATATTATATACTAGTCGCTAAAACAAAGTTATAATAAAAATATCTGTTTTTTTTTCATAATATAAACCACATATTTAAAAAGTAGGGACTTATTAAAAAGAAGTAACTTTCGCCATCTGTTACTAGATATCCGTACTACTACATTAAGCTTAACAGGTTTCATTTCGCTATTAACAGTGCAATTTTTCCAAATACCGTTAGATGGCAGCATACAAAAAATATTTTAAATTTCTAATAAAAATTGGAATTTCTTGTCGAAATGTGAAAATAAATGAAATAATAGTATATTGTTTTATTAGGGGAATAAAAATTATAATTTTTTTTTAAAACGTCACAAAAGCATTAATTTTTGCGACGTGATTGACAACATAAAAAAAATCATTTTAATACCTAGGCATAAAAGTAAAGAACTTTTACACCTAAGCCTAAGTATAAAAGTACGAAAATATATTATTAAACTTACATAAAGTGTCAAATTCAA